TTATAGCCTTGGAAACCCTATACAGGGTCACTATGAGTTGGAAATGACTCCGTGGCACACTACCACCATCACCACAGAGGAACAAAATAAGACATTTATTGCTGAGGATTTTGTGTACGATGGTCAAAGTAGAAGTAATAGCAAAACTGTCATTAGTGGTGAACTTGAAAGATTATATGATATAGATTGTTACATTTTCATGATGTTGTTGTTAAGTGCTGTTGAGTTGGTTCTGACCAGTAGTAATCCCGTATAGGGTTTTCAAGGAGCAGCTGGTGAGCTTGAACCGCTGACCGTGTGGTTCAAACTGACTTTGCAGTTAAGCGCATTAACCCACAGCACCACACAAGGACTCTTATTTCTATGATGACTATGCTTTTATTTCAAAAACCTAGATGTTTTTTCATTTGAAATCTTTTTCTACATAGGAAATAATATGGAGAAGGATTATAAGACTGAGTCATCGTCATCTTCCTTGGCTCTTCAAAGTTCTTCTGAGACATTGCTTTCTATTCAGCTATTAGATTTCAAAACAAGTTTACTGGAAGCATTGGAAGAATTGCGTATGAGAAGGGTAAGTATCTTTTTTAAAAAATGCTTCTTTTAATCAGAGAACTTGCTTTTGTTCAGTTTTTTTATTTTGCATTCCAATTATTTTTTGTCAAATAATGCTATATATTTTCTACATATATTGATATTTATTAAAAATTCTGGACATTGTACACAATTTGCTTCTTTCACATAACAATTTTTGGCACTTTTTCTGATAGCACCTTATTCTTTTAAACCATAGCACAATATGAAATTTCATAGATATTTTGGTTGATCATTTATTTATTAATCAACATTTGGGCTATATCCAAGTTTTAAAAAGCTACAATAAATACTCTTAAGCCCATATTTTTGTTAAGACTTAATTTCTAGAAGTGAAATTTCTGGGTTCAAAACCAGAACATTTTGAATTTTAATTGTTAATTTATACTTTTAAAATGGTTATAACAATTTACTATACAGAAAATGCTGGGGTTTTGGATACCATAATCATTCATCTTTGTCAATATGGATTTCCTGCCTTTGAGTCATTTCTGATTCATAATGACTCTAGAGCATAAAGTAAAACGTCTCCTTGGTTTCCAAGACTGATAATCTTTATAGGAGCAGACAGCCTCAGTTTTATACCACAGAGCAGCTAGTGGGTTTAAACTGCTGA